TTTCTATTGTTTTTACATTTTTTATGCTGATGAAGCTGAGTTGCAAATGATTGATTATATGTGGTTTTTGTTACTGTTTTGCACAATTTTTTGTGTTGATGAAGCTGATTTGCAGATGATTGATTATACGTTTGTCTTAATTCATTATTTGTTCAGCTGATTTGAATTTGTCAGCTTTGGTTATCTTTGCTTCTTTTTATGTCAACTATATAACTTGAGTTTCTTATTTTAATATTTTCTTGGTGTATGAATGCCTGACTTTTCGTGTTGTGTAATTGATTGACTATTTGATACATACATTTGTTGATTCATTGGCATCTAGGCTGTAAACAAGCCGCTGAGATCGAGCTTAAGGTGCTCGAACTCGTTAAATAAACCAGCTAGAAATGGAGCTCGAGCTTAAATCGTTTATCACTATTAATGAGCCGACTTCGAGCCGATCTTGAGCTTTAATGAGTCGTACTATAGAAAATTATATAAAAATTATCTCTTCGAGCCTTATCGAGCGAGCTTTAAATGATCTCGAGCTCGACTTGTTAAGGCTTGGAGCTCGAGCCGAGCCAATCAAGTCGCGTTGAAGTTAACAACACTAGCCATCAAACAATTGCTTATTGTTTTCATATTATTTCTCAGGGGTCACTGGAGCAGGGTTGATTTTGGCAATTACTTTGCCTGTGATGGCTTTTTGTATGCTCTGTATTTTTGGTACTTATGCAGTCTATATAAGATGGAAAAAACGAAAACAAGGTATCTTAATTCTTACCTCAAACCATGGCAATGTATTTTGTTCAGCAAAAAAGCACCGTATTTTTACTCTTTTTTTTTTTTCCTCATAGCGTTTTTATCGAACCATGCAGAATGTGAAAATCTTGGCAAGATTTCATATTCATACAACAAATCGAACCTGAATTTCAAATATGAAACCCTGGAGAAGGCGACCAATTACTTTGATAATTCACGAAAGTTGGGTCAAGGAGGAGGAGGCTCTGTATATAAAGGAATACTGTCAAATGGTAAAACAGTGGCTGTAAAAAGATTATTCTTTAGCACAAGACAGTGGGTAGATGAATTCTTCAATGAAGTAAATCTTATAAGTGGGATCGAACACAAGAACCTCGCGAAGCTTCTGGGCTGCAGTATCGAAGGCCCTGAAAGCCTTCTGGTTTATGAGTTTGTGCCCAACAGAAGCCTTGAAGAGCACCTTTTTGGTGAGTCTTTGATTGGGATGACTATTTTTAGTATCTTCAATACAAATATATAAATTCTAATGATTTTGCAATTTCAGATACGAACTATAATCGAATCTTGAGTTGGAAAGAAAGATTCAAAATAATCGTTGGGACAGCCGAGGGGATTGGTTTTCTTCATGGAGGTTGTGAGCACAGAATAATCCATAGGGATATCAAGAGCAGCAACATTCTTCTTGATGAGAACTTCGAACCGAAGATTGCTGATTTTGGTCTTGCTCGGTGTTTTGCAGCTGATAAAACTCATCTCAGCACGGGGATTGCAGGCACACTGTAAGGAACCATTGTTTGCATCCCATACAACCATTTAGGCTATGATTAGTAAATATAACTGATAAGTTAGCTTATAGCTAATAAGTTTATAGCTCTTAAGTTAATTTCGAGCTTATAGTTGATAGTTTATTACTTGTGGTTGAAAAACTAGCTCATACGATAAAAATGTTTGGTATAACACTCTGATAAGCTAACTGAAATAAAAATTTCAATCCGCTTATTTGAAAAGCTACTAAAGGAAGCTTATGAGATAAGTTCGAGTTTTTTTCCTACCAAACCAAGCTTAGTATTTGAATACAGTAAGCTTATAAGCTAATCAAATAAGTTATAAGTTATCCTTACCAAACATAATCTTAAGCAAAGTGGGGAGAAAAAGGAATAAACAACCTCAGTTACCTTTCACAATTACGAATTCTTCCTCTTAGAGGGGGTCGTTGTCCATTGTAACTTCTTGGCTGCAGCTTTAGTAATCTTAAAAAAGTGACTGCATGATTTTGTTATCGAACTAAACCTCAAAGAGTAGTTTCGTAAATTTATTCTCATATAGTGATGCATGACTTATTTTTTTCTTTTTTATTTTTTATTTTGCAGAGGATACATGGCCCCGGAGTACCTAGTAAAAGGACAGCTTACAGAGAAGGCCGATGTTTATAGTTATGGAGTGCTGGTTATTGAGATCGTGTGCAGTAAGAAAAACAATGCTTTTATGGAGGGATTTGGATCCCTCCTGCAAACAGTAATTTTCCGAATCCTTTTTTCACTGTTAACTCGATATCTAAAAAAAACCCGGAAAGGAAGTCCAATGGTTGATATTATTGTTCTGATTTCAGGTTTGGGATCTTTTTAAGGCAGATAGATTACTAGAAGCAGTTGATCCGTGCTTACAAGGCAATTTTCTAGCAATGGAGGCATCAAAAGCTTTGCGAGTCGGGCTTTTGTGTGCGCAGGCATCTGTAGCTGAGAGGCCATCAATGCTGGAAGTTGTTCGAATGCTCACAGATGAAAATTGTGAAATCCCAGAACCGAAACAACCACCATTTTTGCACGCGAGTGCCGAGACGACAAGCTCAACCAGCTCATCGTTAGAGCTGTTAAACGAAAGTAGTCGCTCGTAAGCTCGGTTCAGCTCAGCTGGGCTCGTTCATAACTCATTTAGTCAACGGCTCGACTCGTTAAGGTCTCAAATACTGTAATTTTCTATAGCTCGGCTTGTTAAGGCTCTAGTCTGGCTCGCTAAAACAGATAAACAACTATGCTCGACTCGTTTACACCTATAGTCAGCATACAACTTAAACAGTTAAAATTCGAAAATTATGAAAAATGTGAAGCTATCGAATAGATTCATCGAAGTTCTCTAGTACACAGTCTCAGTGTACATTCCGAAACGAACTTTTGTGCGACACTTTCAACTACCAAAAGGGGCAGAAAAGAGTCTCAAGTTTGTGTAAATCTTGTAGCTATTTTTTTTTATTATTATTATTATTATTATTATTATTATTTTTTTGTGTAGAAATTGGTTGTAAAAGAAGGAAAATAAAGTGTATACTCGGCAAGCATTCATGAACCCTGGTGATATGAGTTTTGCAGTCTTTTTTCTTCCCCTTTCTTTTTGTTTTTAAAATTGATTCCTTTCTGGGAACTTAAATAATGTAATGTTTGTTGTAACTTGCTGTTGAACAAATTGTCTTAACAGCTCATCCTCTACTAATTTTTATTTTTTATTTTTTCCTCCTTCGACTCTCATGATCGAACAGAACATTCGAATGACCGAGCATGACATGATTGAACAGAGCATTCACATGCCATGATCACCACAAAAAAAACTACTTCGGATTCAGAATTCTCCGAGATAGAAGGCGAATAAACACAGAATAAACAAATAAGAGAGAACCGTTCCATCTATAATTTTACCACACTCACCAAACGAGCAAGGAATTCAGTAAACACAGAATAAACACATAAGAGAGAAGGGTTTATCTATGATTTTACCACAACTGACTAAACGAGCAAGGAGTACGGGAAATCGAGCCTACTCATCCTCTCGCACGACACTAATTTCGCCTTTCTCGAGCATTTCGTAAAACTCCTTAGTTCTTCTCTGGTTGTTCCAATGGTGCCTTTTCCATAATGCTCCGGCCGCCAGGCCAAGCCCAATTCCGATGAGAATCTCCTTAACAATGCTTGGGCCCTTGTAAACCACATGGCCACCACCCATTTTCTCAGGAAAAAAAAAAGAGCTAAAAAAAATGACAAAAATTACACAAATCAACAATCATGGCTAAGCAAAATTGTTGTGTTGGTTGCTAACATAAATTCAGACTATATTAAAAAAAAAAAATCATACATAAATTTCATAGAGTCATAAACCAGAAAAAAAATAAATGCAAATCAATTAAATTGGAGCTTGAATTTCCAATTGATCTACAGTTTTAACAAACAATAAATAAAGTCGTAACTATTAACACGAAAAAATGGGTTTTTTATTCATCAAATAAAAACATGAAAAGGGAACATACCTCAAATTTTTCGAATTGCAAAGTATCTCCGGCGATCGGATTTCACAGTATAAACGACCGGCGGCTGATAACCACAAGAAATTCGAAAGACCGAAGGGTCCCGAAGAAAGACGAGGATTAATTGTCTGCGGACGAGTACATCAGTCGAGAGATGTAACCGATCAGTGAGACGTAGGATATCGTCATGACATGGCAAATGTCGCCGAATCCTACGGCCACGATGTCGTGCTCGAGGCTTCCGTTTATTGACCGAAATAATCTTAAGTTTAAATTAAAAAATCTTCTTCAATGCACAATATAGTCTAACTATATTTTTATTTACTTATCAAATATAAAATTTTATAATAATATATAATAAGAAAACTAATTAAATAATTAAGGAGGTGATTGTTTATGGATTCAACTAGTTTTTATTTGGTTTGTTTTTTAACTATAGTTAATTTTAAAAAAAAATGTGGTATGTTTAGTTGTTATTGGATATATTCAAATAATATTTAAATAAAATAATTAAAGTTGATTTGATGTAAAGTATGAGAAAAATGATTGGAAATGATGGTTAGTTAAAATTATGTGAGTTGGTGAATAGTAAATTAAAGCTGATGTGATGTGTAAGAATGATTGCTTGATATTATTTAATTATATAGATAATATGGAAGATAGTGAAGTTGGGTTAAAGTTGAGTTTTATTTGGTTTTTTTACTGTTTAAACAATCACCCCCGAAATTGTTTGGAAATGGTAAGAATTATTCTCTCTCTTCTCTTCGTTAGCTAGCTAGAATGTGGAGGAGAATGTGGATGAACCACATTCTTCTCTACATTGTAGACATTAATTATGTCTACATCATCACAACATTTATGATCATATTGTAAATTGGAGGATGAAAAGTTGGGATATTACTAAATGTGTTGATGTGGAATGCAATTTCCACAACAACATTTGAGGATTGGAGATGCTCTAAGGTACATCACTGACAAAAATATATTTTTATATATGAATGAATGGTGTCATCATATATTAATAAATTTTAATTTTGAGGTATAAAAGCAGCTTCTTAGAGCTCGTTAAAATTCCAAAATATTAATTTCTACAGTAATATTTCATAGGTCGAAACGTTAAAGTTTGAACAAGACTCGTCAATATTAACAAATCTAATCTAAGCTCGTTAAGTTTACGACCGAACCAAGCTTAACTAGATAAAGGCTCGAGCCTGAACTCAAGTATCATGAGTTTGATTCGACTCAACTTTAATTATTTTATTTTAAATATTATTTTAATTCATATTTAATTTTTTACTAACAACTAATCATGTCACATTTTTTAAATTTATACTTAATTAATAAAAAATCAATCAAATCCATGTCCAATTACAAAATCTATTTGAAGAGGGGTTTTGTAATATTGTTTGAAAAAGATGAGGCAAAAAGCACCACTGCACAAATATCTAGTCTGATATTTTCCCCAACCCCACTTTAGCTCCTAATATAAGGCAAAACAATAATCACCCCCCAAAAAAAAGGAAAAATAAAATAAAATGATGGCCTTTTTTTCAATATTTCATCAACATTTGTCCAGGCCAAATCCTTCACAAACTGATCTACACTTTGCTTCCAATAATCTCATGAGGTAATAACATAAATCTACCAAAAAAAACTTCATTTTCCTTGATATATTGTTCCTCAAGTCACAAAAATGAAAAAAAAAAAAAGAAAAAAAAAAAAGAAGAAAAAATCCAATCATTTTTTTTTTTAACTGGATAGGAAACAGAAACCAGTTGTTGTCCGTTGTGTTCGTGAAAAAATAGGCGATCAAAGCCAAAATTACTACGAGTTGCTGGGAGTTTCGAGCGGCGCAAGCCCTCAAGAAATCAAAGATGCATACAGGAAACTGCAGAAAAAACACCACCCAGATATTGCTGGGAAAAAGGTCGTGTGGCTTCTTTTTTATTCGTGTTTGATCAAAATTTTTGCGTAGCTTTTTTTCGTTAGAGAATGTGTAATCTGAGTTGCAGGGCCATGAGAGCACATTGATGCTAAACAAAGCTTACAAAGTGCTCATGACGAGTGACATGAGAAAAGAATATGATTCGTCAATTGGCAAACTAAGTGTTGGTGTTGGCAGCAAATGGAAAGGTCCTTTGAGGCCTGAAGCTCTGTTTGTTGATGAAAATGCCTGTATAGGTAAAAGTAAATAACAAAAAAATGAAATGTTAGTTTTTGAGAGGTTTAAGTGGAAAATTACGGTAAACTGAAGTCGAGCTCTGAAATATTTCAGGTTGTAGAGAATGTGTGTACCAAGCAAGCAACACATTCATGATGGATGAGGTTCTTGGATCAGCAAGAGTCAAAGTTCAGTATGGCGATGATTATGATAAAATAGAGGTGCTCTTTGCTATAGTTATCATTGATTTCATTAAGTCAAGCAAAAATGTTTCTTGATTTTGATTGAAATTCTGCAGAAATAGAGTTGTTCTTTGCTAGTTATCATTGATTTCAACAAGTCAAGTAAATGTTTCTTGATTTTGATTGAAAGTTCTGTGGAATTGAAGTGTTCTTTGCTAGTTATCATCGGTTTCAACAACTCAAGCAAATGTTCTTTGATTTTGATTGAAATTCTGCAGAAATAGAGGTGTTCTTTGCTGGTTATCATTGATTTCAACATGTCAAGCAAAAATGTTACTTGATTTTGATTTAAATTCTGCAGAAATAGAGGTGTTCTTGGCTAGTTAACATTGATTTCAACAACTCAAGCAACATTGATTTCAACAACTCAAGCAAATGTTTCTTGTTTTTGATTGAAAATCTACAGAAATAGAGGTGTTCTTTGATAGTTATCATTGATTTCAAAAACTCAGCTCATTTTGATTGAAATTTTGCAGAATTTCATCTGTTTTTTGGGCAAGATCTTTTGCATACATTCTTCTCAGTCTTACAATATTTACTATTTCTACACTAATTTTGCTCGCTATCTAACAGATATCAGTTGCTTCTTGTCCTGTAAACTGCATTCACCGGGTTAATACAGAAGAATTAGCAGTTCTCGAGCATTTAAGCCAGCCACAAAAAAAATCGGGTTATGGCATATATGGGCAGGGCTGGGAGAGGACTGCAAATGTGTTCATGGCTGCAAAATCATTCAACAAACAATTGAAGAACCAAGAAGAAAACCAGTCGAGACATGGTAATAATCATCGACAAACTCTTTTGGTTTATTAAATATTTGGCAGTTCGGGTTTTATTTTCGCTAAGGTCTAAAGGATGTGAGAAAATGTTACTGCAGAAAAATCGACTGAAGAAGAAGAAGAAACACTTGCTCAGGCAGAAGCCCGTGAAAGTGCGTATAGGAAAATCAAGATTCAGAGCTTCGCCAGATTTTGGAACTGGGTGAAGAAAACATGAAAATAGGTTAAAAACATATCATTGTGTAGACTTTGATCTGTTATTAAATATTAATACTGAAAACAGTGTTATTTGGACAGAAAATTCATTACATGCTGTTTTAAAAAAAAAAAGGTGTTCGACTAATCTCGAAGACGGCATTTTCCTGTTCCAGCACATACTGAACACTCATCTACTTCACCAGAAACATGGCTCAAGCAATAAGTGATTCTGTCATTCACCACATCCTGTGACAACAATTGTATAGGGAGTTGTTAATATTGCAGCATCCTTGCAAATACATTTTAAGCTCATCAAAATGGACTTTTTACGGTTAGCACATTGAAGGGAATAAATGCAACCCACATTTCATATAAGGAAATGAAATGGACTGTGAGTGCGAGTGTGTTTGGTAAGCACCATAAGCTAGCATATAACTTATTTGGTTAGCTTATAAACTTTCTATATTCAATTAAGTTTGATTTGGTAGGACCAGTTTTCTAAAACTTAGAAGTTTGAGCTTATCTCATAAACTTCCTTAGGTAGTTTTTCAAATAAGCCCGTTGAAATTTTTATTTCAGCTAGCTTATAGCTAATTTTACCACGATTTTTTATCATATAAACTAGCTTTTCAGTCATAAGTTATAAACTACTCGAAATTCACTTAAAAGCTATCCAGCTAACTTATCAGCTAGTTCTCCATGGAAGTATCAAGAAAAAAGCTACCAAATGCCACATATTGTCATTTATCCAGAACAAAAAACCTCCAAGCATACATGATGAAGTTATTTGAATTGAGAAAAACCAGATAAGCAAAGTTCACACAAGAATATAAATTAGCTCATACCACAAGCAGCTCATGTAGACCAAGGGGGGCAGTAATGACATATGATACCCCTGGGTGTTCCTTTGCAGCTTCAGCTGTTAGAGAAGGAATATCCTGGGAAAAAAATATGCAACCGTACATTTCAGTTTTCATTGATGTTCGAGATTCTTTGGGCATAAATCAATCAATTAAAATCCAAGTTTTCGCTCAATTTACCTGGTGCCAGTGTCTTCCAGGGAACAAGAAAAAAGGGCTAACGATAACACGTTTCGCTCCTTTTCGTACGCATGAATTAAAAGCATCCTGGATTGATGGCTCAGCCAGTTCCTAGTAACAGACTTTTTTTGTTATTTTTTTTTTTTAAAAAAAAACCCCAACGATGACCATGTAATTAATTTTCAAAATGATCAGTATGCATTTGATACCATGTGAGCAGGCTCCACGATTGGATATTTAGTTTTCTCCTTGAACATGACAACAAAATCATCTGAACACACTCAGCAAGAAATTAAATCTGCATCAGTAAGACTATAATAAAAAGAAAAAAATAATATAACTATTGGGTGCTTATCATATGATGTTAAATCACCATTTTGGTGTCTTAAGCAGTTAATATATGATTTACTGCCTCCAAATTTTTCCTTATGTTTGGTAACCAAATAAACTAGCTTATAACTTATTTGGTTAGCTTATAAGCTTCCTCTAGTCAAATTAGCTTCGTTTGGTAAGACTAGCTTTTTAAAAAGCTGAACTTATCTCAAAAGCTTCTTTGGGTAGCTTTTCAAATAAGCTCGTTAAAATTTTTATTTCGACTAGCTTATCAGCTAATTTTACCAAACACTTTTACGTATAACCTAGCTTTTCAGCCATAAGTCATAAGCTGCAAGCTCAAAATTCACTTAAAAGTTATAAGCTAGCTGATATCAGCTAAGTTTACCAATGCAGATAAACCCTAAAAATAAGAAGACAAATTCTCAACTTAACATGAATGGGGCATACAAGAAAAGACTTACTCAGCATAAGGTTAGACTCCTTGCGGCGTGAGCCATGATCAACAATGATGATTCCATCACCTTCATCAACCCCTTTAAGCGACATCCTGAAGCTACCCCCATTCGCAGAGGCCAGACACAACCTTGAGTTTGAATATTTTCTTTTCAAGGGGTCTTGGTGCAATTTCACAAACTTAGGAATTGCGCAACTATGGGTTATCACAGTATATCCTCTATTTGTAGGGCTAAATCCGGAAATGGATTGAAAATACCTGCTGGGACCGACTGAAGAAGATGCTGCTACCTCCATTTTCAGCTCTTCAAATCCTCATTTCACTTTTATGCACACATAAAAGTTTAGAGTTTTATGTCGGGCTCCGTCTTTAGCTAGCGATCTTCCTTCAACAAATCAACAAAAATTAAAAATAGAACCAAATTAGTGGGTTTAATGAAGGCGATAAAACTCAAACCGCTGATCACAGTTCCAAAGGCCAATGGATATTCAACATAAAGTAAAAGCTACATTCTTTTTATAATTCTTTTGAAGACCCTTAACATATAATGATTTACAGGGGCTGCAATTCACAAAGTGGATAACTACAATTGTGACGACGGTAAATACATTATTTCTTTCAAGAAAAAACGCAAACATACCATATCTAGATAAGACTATATGGGATGATAATGGGGACATAAAGTTATCTTTAGAAAAATAAAACGAAAACCAGCCCACTTCTTCTTTTGCAGAATTAATTCTCTGCAGCCACAAACTCGAATACCAGACCAAACGGAGCAGGCTAAAATGGCCCGAGTCTTAAAGAACCAGGAAATTCCTGGCCCGTGGCCTGCCCGCATCAGTCCACGGGCCAAGCCTAAAGTTTTTTTTTTTCTCTCTGTTTTGTTGGCAAACCTGCTGTTGCCTGTTGCTGTAGAATAACAAAATTTGGGGGCAACCTAGTTTTCATGACTGTAACTGTCAAAACTCAAAACTTGGGGCCACAAATCAATCTCAAAAAATTGATTTGTATAATTGTATTGGACTTGAATTTAGAAGATGACTTTTAATATCAGGTGCAAAAATAAGAAAATCTCTGTAATCACATTTTTCAGATTGAAATAGGGGCGACGACTGGGTTTAATGAAATCTTAAAAAGAGCTTTGAATCACCTTGATGAGAGCAAGAGCCCTTGATTGAATCTGAAGCTGAAGCTGAAGCTGAAGCCGAAGCTGAGGCCGACCGAGTTCTACTGTTTTAGGAGCCGGGGCTTGGCATTAGACGGCTGTGGACGGGCCGCTCTACGAGGATGTGCGGCGAGTCGGAGCTGAGAAAGAACAGCGATCTGTGAATTGTGAACTAACGTCTGTCCGGCGGCGGCCCTTGCCGGGAGAGTGAAGACAGATAACTAAGTGGCGAGAGAGAGAGGATTTGTGGCTCAGCGTCTGCATTAAACACACACACACACACACACAAAGACCAAATGATGATATGGGCCAATCCGCTCTTTGGCCCACGGGCTAAATGAGGATAACGAAATCGGCCTGTATTAAAATGGGCCGTAGAAATAAAACTGTATAAACGGGCGAGCGGGCCTGCGAGGTCCGTCTCGACACAACTGAGGTAATATCCTCATTCCACAATTAAGTTACCTACTTTATAATAAACTTATGAATGTATAAAAATTGTATGGAGATTAGACATAGGATATTTTGGGGAAAAAAAGATATCTTAATAAAAGAAAAGCACTTAAAAGAAGAAGAAAAAATATTTTGGATGAGTTTATTATTGTGTTTGTGAATAAATATATGATATAGAAATAGTAAAATTATAATTTGAAATAATTAAAAATATGCGAGTAGATGAATAGTAAATTTTATTGAAAAATCTATAGTAATGATTGATTTTTTTTTTTTTTA